TCTGTCTAGGTTTTTCTAAAAAGTACCTATTTTGTGAAAATTTAGACATAATTTGCGAAAAATTAAAAATTATATTAAAAAATCAACACAAAAATATGATAAAAATATGGATTTATCGTTTCTTAAAGAATACAAAAATAAAATTTTAAGAAAAAGTAATTTGTTAAACTATTGTTTGTCCTAAAGTTGAATTTGTGACACTGCCGTTTTTCCTAAAGGGAATTTGTGAAGGTATCACTAAACGGTAGTAAATTCGGCCTGGACAGACCCCTGGTATATTAACATAAATAAACTGCTATGCCATCAACTCAGTAGCATCGATTACTTCTTTTACATTAAAAAAGAAAGAAAAAGCTATAAGCTATAGCATGTATGTACATGTTTACATACATATGGAGACAGAGTCTTTAAGTTTAAAATTTTAGGAGAAGTTGTCACTTTCCCTACTGACGCCAAAATCCTGTTTCCAAGTCTATTTTTGGATATTTTAGGCAGACGCACATACTTTTTTTGCCACACCAATAGTCCCAAGAAAATAGCACGAGTTACAATCAACCGAGATAGTACTATATTTTTGTTTCTTGTCAATAAACAAATTAATAAATACAAATTTCAAACTAAACAAGATCCCAAAATGTTTTAAAATATTCAGGTTTAGTTCAACACTTTTAGTATCCCTTGTCAATTTAGTTTAGAAAAATTTTTATCTAATAATTTTGCTCAGTTGAAATAGCTTTATTCACAGATTTATTTTTGTAAATAAAATCTTATTCATTTTTTGGATACTATGAAAACTTAAATATTTTAATCAAAAATTTTTTTTAACAACAGAAAGAAAAATGTAATTCCAAATATATATTTGATATTTTACATAAAATTTTACAGTGTATATGTTGATTATGGAGTTACAAAATATATTCTATATATTACATAAAAATCAGATAAAAAAGTACATTCTTTTTTGAAAGATAAATCAGATGGTATGTTAATATAAGTTAAAAGGCATTATAATTTAAAAGGTATTATATTAATATAAGTTATTATATTAATATAAGCTCAAAGGTATTATATTTACACATAAAATATATCTCTAATTTAAACAATATAACACCATTTTTAGTATGATAAAAATTTTGTAATTTTCTTGCTACCCAATACTTCTAATAAAGTTAGCCTGAAGTTTAAAATTTGGGGAGAAAAATACACCACTTGCAAGAAAGTGTATGATCTTTTCATAAGTGTTTGATTTTTAAATAATTATATTTTTATGTTATGTTTATGAGATGCAAAAACACAGAATATGTTTAACTAAAAAAACTAGAAGGGAAAAAAAAAAAAAAAAACAGTAGTCTACACATGAATTTAGTAGAATTAGCAGGTATGAAGCAATACTCTATTATGTGGACCCAGAAATTAAAATTGATAGCACTATTTAACAACTACATAATTAAAGTTTCTTAAAATAGTGTTGTTTGTGTGAAATTTAATTTTCACAGCCAAGGAAACCTAATAGTCACAGAAAAACCAATGAATTGGATCTAAAGAAATTAGATTAATCTAGAAACAAATAATTTCTTATATTTAAAATAAAAATAGAGAAGAGATAGAGAACAAACTAAGTTTGTGGAATGTATATACAATTACAGTTATAAACCTGAAATTCTTTCAAATTAGAAAGGAATCAAATTTTAACTTTCCCATGCAGCCTATAACAGGATCCACTAATTTTTGTTACATTTGCAATGTAAAAGGAATTCAAATGATAACAAATTATCTGTCATCAAAAAAATAATTTTTATTTAAAAAGAACATTGCTAGCTTAAATGCTATTTTATCATATCAAAAGAACAATCGAATAAATAAGATCTATTTATAGGTAAAATGATCTAAAAAATCTTCAATAACTTTTGATGTTATTACCAGATTTCCACATAATAATAGTTAATATTTTAAAAGGAAATTTTTTTAACTGCTAATCAGCACTGCATACAAATTAGGTATCAAAGTCAGATATAATATAGTACAGAACAACATACATTAAAAAAAAAAGAATCTTTCAATATTATTAATCCCTTTTAATTGCGTAAATTCAAAATATGGATGAAATTGGAGGAATAGTTAAGGAGCAATACAATTTCAAAAAGTATAGCACAGATTTTTAGATTTCCATTTCTGAGTAAATAATTCAACCTACTGTTATAAGTACTGGATTTTTGCATTAAAAATTACACAATTTAAGATGTAACTTACGAAAATAAAAATATTAAAAATTATTGTAGGTAAAAAGTTCAGTATATTCAGATATAAATAATGAAAACATCACAAAATAAATTCATGTTAATGTTATATAAAGCAATAACATCTGTCACATGGCATTATCATTTTAATAGCATTAAACAAATATTTTATTATGAATTATTGACTCAAGATTATTAAAAGGAAGAAAAAAAAATCCATTATATATATATTTGAAATGATAACTTAGTATTCATTATTTATTATTGAAATTTATCTTGCAAACAAACATAAAGAACTACTAAAACTATTTTTAAAATTTTAGCTGAATGCATTCATAGGAGTATTAAGGATTTCATATAGGTACTTAATTAATGACAACTCAAAAATTTGTTGCAATATAAACAAGATTAATAAGTGAAATAAGTCTTCTACTTGAAAAATAACACATTACAAATATTTTCAAAATAATAAATTAGCATTGTAAGGCATAATTTGTAACTGTAGTCTAATTAATTAAATAGAAAACATCTAGTTTTAAAAAGAAACATAAAAAGCAACTAAAACAACTCTTTAAATGTTATCGTAAATGCATTAAAGATTTCAAACATATTTAATCATTGGCAAGTTCAAAATTTGCATTAATAAGAGGAAGAAATACTTCATTTTTAAAATAAAAAATAAAATTATGTACCAATGTTAGTTCAATTTAGCTAACAAACTAGAAAATATCCAACATTCAGACAATTCGATAAAAAAGAAAAAAAAAACTAACTAATTTGTTTAGGATTACAATAATAGGTGTATTATAGATTTAAAGAATTAATCAATGACAACCCTAAAAATTAGATAAAAATCGAGACAAGATTAATACGAGGAACAAACCTTCAATTTTCAAAAGAAATAACTTTTTTGTACCAATAATTTGAAAAAATTAATTTAGTATGCATGATTTACTACTAACAAGAAAATACCACTTGCACAAAATACCTACCATAAAACACTAGCATAAATTTAAAAAGTTTCTCTGAAAGTATGAACATGTGCATTAAATGTTTCAAGCCTATTTAATCAATGACAACCCCAAAATTTGTAGCAATAAAAAAAGATTAAAAAATCTTCAATTTTAAAAAGAAAAAAACTTATTACTAATACTTTCAAAATATTAATTTAGTATACAAAATTTGTTACTGCAATTTAGCTATCAAAATACCTCTTGCACAAAGTAACATAAAAAACAAGTAATGGTATGACAAATTTAAAAAAGTTTCTTTAAACGTAAGAATATATGCATTTAAGCTTTCCAAGTATATATATCTAATCAATGACAACCTCAAAATGAGTAGCAATAGAAAGAAGATAAAAAAGAGGAAGAAAGCATCAATTTTTGAAAGAAAAATAACCTTTCACCAATATTTTCAAAATATTAACTTAGTATACATTATTTGTTAGTGCAATTTAGATAACCAATTTATGTAAAAATATTTTCAAAATATTAATTGGCTTAATCCTAGTATACATTATTTGTTACTGAAAATATCACTTTTACAAAAATCTGGTAAATAGTACAATAAATTTTAAAAGTTTTGCTAAATGTATTAATATGTGCAAAGATTTCAAGCCCATTTAATCAATGACAACCCCTAAATTTGTAGCAATAGAAAAAAGATTATTAATAGGAAGAAATCTTCTACTTAAAAAGAAAAATAACATATCCTAATATTTGTTATTGCAATATAACAAACTAGTCAATATCGAATTTTCACAAAATAATGTTAAAAACTACCATAACTAATTTTTAAAAGTTTCCCTGAATACATTAATAGGTGTATCAAAGATATAAAGTACATATAATTTTTGACAACTTCAATATTCGTAGCAATAGATATCGATGTTGGTGCTAAAAAGCTTAGCCTAACTGTTTCACAGGAATTAAGTTAATTTTTCGTAGGAAATGCATGGCACATGCAAAACTGACAATTGCAACTAGAGTAACAGTACAATGCATGTGCAACTAATGGGTTCTGTAGCAAATTGCAGTACACAGTGAGGAGGAAATAAATATTTCAACAATAGAATGTCAGTTTACCTGCATAATCACGCATTTTTAAGTTTCCCCATTCACAGCTTAGAGCAGAGGTAAAGCCAAACCTACGCAAAATTTTCTTTTAGCAGTCGTTTTCATTAAACACATTGGAATGTCAAAAACACCGCATAGCAACATGCTTTCAAGCTGAATCTTTAGAAGTAGCGGCAATGATCCGGTCGACGAATTAACGTTATGATAATAAAATAAGTTGAGCCTCGGGCAAAATAGCAGAGACTAGTCTTCGAGCTTTGGCACAAGTCCCATTGTTGTAGTACAACTTCGTCAGAAAGGAATATTTTCTCCCTTCCCCTTCACCCCTGGCCTCCTCCCTTCCTCCCTCTTAACTCGTCGAAGAAAATAAACGGTGATCCTGTTTGGCTATGGCGGGAATTACTTTTAAAATAAACACATTAATAAAATGATAATAATGAGTTACTAACTATAACAATTTGACATATGCTGCTGCCATCTATCGTCTTTAGTTTTTATTACACCACATCATAACACGATTTAGAAGAAACAACCGCGGAAAAATTATGAGACATAAAAAATACGTACGATCAACATCGTAATTATTGTATGATCACAGAGAAGGGGGAGAGCAAAGGATTTCGTAGAGTATCAACAAAAACAGCATTCGGATTTCGTAGCCCTGGGTGAAAGTTTATTCCGGGGTTTTTTCCGGAGATCTATTAAAAAAAAAAGACATTTTAAAAATGGATTTGAGTTACGTAATGGAATAAATTTTTTTTTTTGAAAAAAAAAATATAATAAAATTTAAAAAAAATATCTATGGAAATGTAAATTGCAGTCCTTGAGCATTAATTTGTAATAAGCACGCTACTAAAGATAAAAACGGTTTTATTTTATACAGGTTGCGTAGCCAAATTATTCAACAAAAAACCTTTTAAGCACTTTTCAGGCACTCAAAAAATATTTTTAAGCACTTTAAAAAATATAATTAGGCAGGGTTGTAAAGTTTTTGACAATTGACGGTTTTATCTTGTTTTAACCGTCATGTCAAATAACCCTTTTGGCGTTGTTTATTACAATTGTCAAAAATCATGAAATTTTAAATCATGTAAAACGAATGTCGTTTTCATACATTGTGGTCTGACAATACGCCGAAATAGATTGGGGTTGAATTAATTGTTGAAACGTTGAATAGAACAATGTGAACTGAGTCTTTTTTTATAATTCGAAGTGAAAATCAACATAGTAAGAGAAAAATCTTATTTTGAAAGAGGGAAAATGAAGCAATTTTTGAAAACACCCAATCAAAAAAGCACCTTTAAGGGCTTTTAAAAAACGAAAACCCAAAATAAGCACCTTTAAGCACTTTTTAAAAACGCTACGCACCCTGTTATTAGAAAAGATCCTTTATAATTTTTCAATATTTTAGGCTGGTTAAATATTTCAGGAAATTAATAAACTGTTATGTGATTTTGTATTTCGATTTTCGATGAACACTTGGACCTGAATATTAATAAATAAATTATTTTGCTAGCATTATTTATTAAAAAAAAAAGATAAACATTTCGAATTTACAAATATTGTAATTTATCAAAACTTTTCGTATGAGTCTACATTTATCAGTATTCTGTTGTTGATTTTGAGATAAATATTATTTTTCAATTTTAAAACAAGAAAAAAAAAATGTAAAAAAAAATGGAGATGAGTGAATTTGATTAAAGAGGAGAGCCCTGAAAAACAAAAAATGAATAAAATATAACCATTATAACTTCGAATTAAAAAAACATTAATGAGAAATGTTGGCTTAGTTTAATTATTTAGGAAAAATTAAATTTAAACATTGCATACAAAACCGCATTTAAATACATTTATGATTTTTCGAAATAATTATGCTTGTCGCATTTTAAGAATCATAATTCTTCAAAATATTAAATAAACTAATTCATTCATTTATACAATTTGATAAAACAAATAAAGCAGCAAATACAAATACAAAAATGCTTTTACAAAAATCAAAAATGTTAACCAGAATAAAATATTCCGCTACATAATTTTAATTTCTCCCTTCGATCTGTAAATACGTTTTTTTCGATACCATATTTTTCTAATCAATTCCTACTGTAACTATTATATAAGAATAGATGATAAAAGTTGCACTTTTAAATTTTTGAACTTAATATTTCACCATTATTTTTAGGTAAATACGAAATTAAATAATGTAAAATAACGAATATTTTTTAATATTATTATAAACTAGTTTTCTCCTGAAATTATATTTGGCTAAACGATTTATATAATGGTGTGCAAAATGTTTCAATTCACGTGCTTAAAAAATAACATTAAGAGGTTTAACCATTCAATGGCTCTCTTGACTATATTATGGCGCTTTAAAATGGTATAGTTTAAAGAAAACTGAATTTAATTTTTCATATCCATTGATATGCTTTTTCAGAGGTCATAAATTTTTACATTTTATTCAATAAAATATCAGCTCTCTTGAGAAACAAAATAATAATAATAATATATATATTTGAAAAATAAATCATAATAATCAGGGTTCTTTGATTTAAATTAGCTGATTTTTTACAGAAAAAAATCACTGATTTATATCAAATAAATTTTTTAAAAGAAAAGTCGTCGGTTCCAAAATTTAATACAATGTTTACATAAAGATTATTTAAATTTTTTTTTTACTGATCTTCATAATTTTAATGTTTATTGGAAATAGTTTTTTATATTCATAAATTTGATTTAGAAAAACTACATTAACATTTGGTGCGTAATAAATAAGAGCATATGTGATATAATATTTTGAGAATTACACAACTCTTTTAGATTTTTTGAAATGCAAATGTAGAATAAAATAAAAATTTAATGCAGTTTTTTTTATATGCCCTTGAGAGATGACACAGGGTAGGGGTAACATCAGCAAAATTAATTATTGTGACGGATTTTTTCGCAGAAACATAATGAAAATCCTACCAATTCTGGTTTTAAAATGCAATCTTCAAAACAAAATTTTATTTCAATACTACAAATAAATTTATGAATCTTTAAGTACAGTAAATTTTTATTTTTTAAAAGGAAGCTATTTTAAATTTTTCATAAAAACTAATTTTAAATTTTTAAAAGGAAACTATACGGCTTAAAAAAATCTGCTTAAAGATTAATTCAGATTGCATTTTCTTATTTGGTGATTTGGTTTTAATAAATGGGTAAGTTAAGGTATTCTATGTTTGAACAATAATTAGTTTTGTGAAAAATTCAATTTAGATTGTTTTTCTTTAATTAATAATAATAAATTGGTATATATTTCTGAATTACTATAAAATAATTTTTCGCGTAGTAATATAGTGTTAAAATATATTATTCATTTAATTTCTTAGTTATAATTATGCGTTTAAAATTTAACGAATTAAAAAAATTTTACTAATAGTAAAATAAAAGTTCCCAATGTATCTTTAAGAAAATAAAAAATCGAATTAAATAACAAAATCTCATTTTAATGAAATTAATTGGAATTTTTTATTTGTTTTAAATAAAAATAATTAATTATATATAAATTAATGATACATATTTAAAACTATATTGCAGCATTTAAAAATGTTTTATGATAATACATAATGCATGCAAATGCATGATCCAAATTTTATTAATAACAGAATACAAATGCATCATCATTATGCTTCATTACTAGAATTGTGTTATTAGAATCGAAACATATTAGAAATGTAACAGAAATGTATCATTATCATTATGCAAATGAAAAACAAGCATAAGTAAATTAATAAAAATTAAAAAATTAATTGCATTACTAAATTTTTTAATATATGCAAATTAAAAATACATATTCAATAGCTGCATGCGATTTTAAGTGTCTACTTAGTTTGCATTCTAAAGATTTTACTAAAAAAAAAAAAAAAAATTAACAATCTTACATTAAATTCTTTGTAAATTATTTTAAAAGAAGTAATTTGATTTAAATCAATGAACATTGAAAAAAATCTGTTGAATTAACGAACCCTGCCAAGAGAAAAAGTGTTATCGAAATCTAACGAATCTTTACTGAGGAACTAAAGCGGGACTAGAAGCATCAAAAATTGTTTCACGTGGTTGCAGAGTGCGTCAAAGAAAATTTGCAAGGGCAATTATCAGGAACACTTCCAATGGTTAGGTAATAAACTGGCTTTGATGTTTTTCATTCTTCCTTATTGATTCGACCGATTTCGGCTCAGGGGAGCGTTCGCCTTCCAATGAGGTGAACCGGATTCGAATCTCAGCGATGACTGTTCGATACGAATTTCGAATTCGGCTTGCACCGACCACAGTGCTTACGTACAATATCCTCAGTGGTTGACGGATCATGTGTTAGAGTCCCATAGCCGTCAAGCTAACCGTAGGAGAATTTCGTGGCTTTTCTCTCCATGTAACGCAAATGCGGGTTAGTTCCATCAAAAAGCCCTTCACGAAGGTAAATTTTTCCCAATACTACGTCCAGGAGTTCTCTTGTCTTCTGGATTAGGCTCAAAATTACAAGGCTATGGAGTTGAATATTAGTATTCGTAAAAACAAAAAATTTGGTCGGCTGATCAACATGGTTGTAAAGTATAAATTGCATTTGCTTTTTCTCTCTTCAATATTAATTTACGGAACCTAGACTGTATACTTTTTGAACATCATTTTTTACAAGGATTCTAAAAATAACGTTTTTGGGAGTTTTAACATTAAATGAACATTATTCACATTGCTGGTTTTAGTACATTTTCAAACAATAGAATTGCTTTAAAAGTTCTTTAAAAAGTCAAACAGGTCAAGTTTTCTTTTAAATCGAGTGCGAGCGTTAGAAACAAAGTGATATAAACAAATTTTGAAACAATCCCAAAACTGTGATATCAATACTGATAAGAGATGAAAATATCCAGTAAGAGGAAAAATGTTTTTTTACCTTTATGGTTTATGTTGAGGAACGGAATACAAGCAAAACACACAATGGAACAAAAACAATCATTTTCTATTCTTCAAAATTGTTACACGGTGATGCAATCCCCAATGAAAAGGCTGATAGCTTTTTCTTTCACGGAAGTGGGAAATGAGTCAGAATTTTCAAGTTCAAAGACAGTCAACTCTTGATTGTGATGATCATCATTCACAAATAGCTTCTTTAATCAATAATCGGAAATTTTCATTAAATAGGGTTTTTTTCTTTTCCGCGTATGTTCTTTTTCTTTCGCTTTTTAAATATTTAGATTGAATATATTTAGCACAAAGAATGTGTTAAAAATTTTTTTCGAAATTCGAACTTATGAGAATTCAAAGACAGTCAATCTACTAACTCCTGATTGTGATTGATGATCATCATTCACTAACAGCTTCTTTAATCAATAATCGGAAATTTTCATTAAATAGATTTTTTTTCTTCTTTTCTGCTTATGTTTTTTTCTTTTCTTTCTCTTTTTGAGAATTTATATTG